TTTTAGAATCTGAAATACAGAAACTCCAAAAAAATAGCTTCGACCACACAGATTGAATCTAGTCTTCACGATAGATTCAATAGAAGAATGGGATAGAACCAGACTTGTTCACTTAATGAACATAAAATAAAATCGCAATACAATAATTTAAAACAAACCTGTTGGTAACGACGTGAAGCGAGATCTGCACGGCATAAACCTGTAATTAGAGGTTTTATACGACCACTCTATAAGTAGTGAGTCACTAGTTGCAAAGTCCCAAGATTTGCTGCAATTATGTATTCCGATTGTCAATGCCTATGACAACTAAAGTAGAGCAAAATAGATGCAAAATTGATGGCAGGAAGGAAAATCAGATACAGGGAAGAACAGAGAGAGAGAGATATCACAAATTTCAGTATATTTTAGGAGAAGGTTTAACCCAGTATTTATACTGGTTAAACCCCCTAAAACATGTGATAACCGGGTTATCGGTTATAAAATTAGGGGTTGTTTCTGATTAATGATAGAAAGTTAAGGGGCTTGATTTGGTTATGTGCCTAAATGTTTTTGAAAACCCCATCGCCTCTTATTCTTTATTGATGGGTATTTGAGATATTTACTTTATCTCAGTAGTTTTGTGAGTAAGGGGCCATTTACCCAATTGCTTACTCGGTAAGCGCTTATCGATATGAGTCAATACTATGATTTATTTTGATGTGTAAGATTTTAGTACATCAAAACATATTGAATGCAACAATTTACTGAATAATGTTTACCTGGGTAAGAGTCATCATCCTCACTTATACCGGGTAGACTCTTAATCATTCTTATCGCTCTTATCTGGTAAGATTCTTGGCCCTTCTCATGTGTATCTGATGAGGAAATTTATCCGGTAAGCACTTATCAAGTAAGTGTTTAGTAAACGCCCCCTAAGTAAGAAAAAGTTGGTGAGAAGAATAACTTTTATGGGTGTGTGTTCTCTTGTACGCGAAGCAAACATAAATCGGAAAGAAGAAAAAGAAAGAAGTTGATTCTTTGATTCTTGTTTTGAATAACTTGTTGTTGTTGTTGTTGTTGTTGTCTGCATCTTCATCTCTGTGAATTATAAGGTAAGTTTATTTGTACGACTTTCATCTTATTATGTTGAAATTGGAACTGTAGGGTTCTTTATGTGGGGAAACTTATGAAAACTATTTTGATGCTATGATTAGCATAATTTTGCTATTTTGATATGTTTATATCAAATGATCGGAATAAGGGTGGCATAATCCATATAGGTGTATTTTGGGATAAGGATGTCATAATCAGGAGAAGTATATATTGGGATAAAAGTGACATATCAAGGAGATGTGTATACTAGGATAAGGGTGGTATAATCAACAGAATGTAAAAATCTGGGTTTTTGATCAAGTTGTTAAATGTTGTCGCATTCTTATGATGCAATGATTTTGAGTTGTCGTATTTGTATGATGCGATGACTTAAGTTATCGCATCCTATTTATACGATGAATGATTTTTATCGCATCTTTGTGATGTGAGGAGTATGTTTGTCGCATTCTTGTGATGCAATAAGTTGACTTATCGTGCCAGTGTGATGCGACAGGTTGGGTTTATCGCATCAAGTGTGATGCGATGATATGGGGTTCTCGCACCAGTTTGTTGCGACGAAATGGGGTTGTCTCACCCATGTGATGCGAGAAATTTATGATTTTACCTATATGATGCGATGAATTTTATCATAATGTGATAAATGAGTTGTTTGACTATTTGATGTGATAATTGGATAATGTCTCATTCTTTTGATGCGACAAAGGAGATTTGTTTTATTAAATATTGTTTATTTGTTATTGGTTCAAATATGAGTTTATAAATGTGTTTTGGTGATTATTCACCCTGAATAGCAAACAAATGGATTTCTCACTAGACCTCAAGGTCTAACCCTTATTTTGGTGTTTTGAAAATGTGCATTATAGGTCGGTCACAATCAGATGACAAGGGGAAGGGAAGATCATAGAGAGTTTATATTTGCTTGTATGGAATTATGGGATGATGTGTTATTTCAGTTTTTGAATATTTGTTATGTATACAAGTTTTGTACTGTGATCATATGAAAAAAAATTGATAGCTACTTTGTAATGTAGTATTTGTAGATATTGGGACCAGATGTGCAAATTATATTTCTTGATATATGGAAATATATGTTTATATGCAAATGTGATCTTGGGGTGTTATAAGTTTGGTATCAGAGCCTGAGTTTAAGGGATATATGTATCCAGCATGATGCCTAGACTTAAACTGTAGTATTTGCATATTAAAGGTCCCGAGCATATATAGAACCTTTGGAATAAATATAATGGGTTAAGAGAACGATATATAAGGTAAATTCAAATTACAGCAGGCAAATGTAATTATGGGTTTACAGGTATATATTTGTGCTTGGATATCTTATTATATTTGGGGAATGTGATTATGTGAATATTAAATTGTGTAAATTTTCAGATGTCAAAGGGAGAGGCAGAGGAAATCCTGATGTGGTAACAACTACCTTTCTTATAAACTTCGTGTATGCAAATATGTTATTTGATTCTGGTGCCAATTATTCATTTGTATCCCCTTTATTTGATGGGTGTTTATACATGAATTATGTGCCCCTTGACTATACCTTAGTAGTTGATACTGCTAATAATAGTCAAATATCTATTACTCGTGTATTTGATAACTGCATAATTGAGATTGAGAGATGTGGGTTACCGATTCGTTTGTTTCCGATACCAATGAAGGAATTTGATGTTGTGGTGGGTATGGATTGCTTAGCAGAGAATTAGGCCAATATTGTGTGTAACAAAAAGATGATCAACATTGATTTATTGGGGAAACGACCGATTTTGATTTATGGTGATTAGCAGGATCATCACACTAGCCTAATATCTGTTATGAATGCCTGGACGTGTGTTCAGAAATGGTGTCAAAGTTTTCTTAACTTATGTGGTCGATTCAAAGAAAGAAGAGCATAAACAATAGTCTATTCTTGTCGTCTATAAATATCTCGAGGTATTTCCTGAAGATTTGACTAGTTTACCACCTGATCAAATCGTGGAGTTCAGAATTGATGTAACGCCTAGGGCAACACCAATGGCTAGAGCTCCTTACCGTTTGACACCATCTGAATTAAAAGAGTTAATGATCCATCTGAAAGAATTGATTGATAAGGGTTTCATCAGACCGAGTACATCTCCTTGGGGTGCTCATTTGTTGTTTATTAAAAAGAAAGACGGGACGATGATGATGTGTAATGATTATCGAAAATTGAATAAGATGAGGATACAGAACAAATATCTTTTACCAAAAGTCGATGATTTGTTTGATCAATTAGTTGGGGCAAGTTACTTCTTCAAAATCGATTTGCGGTAAGGATATCATCAGTTGAAAATCAGAGATGAAGATATTGCCAAAACTGCGTTCCGATCTAGGTACGGGCATCATGAGTTCCTGGTCATGGATTTGATGAATAGGGTATGTGTTAGCCTAGATTCAAGTCACAATTCATCATTCATCACAAGATCAAGAACATAGAATAGATTCAAGTATGTCGGCATGTAAACTGATATGAAGATCAAAGTACAGAATGTTCTTGAGCTCTCAAATGTCTCACGTATACAAAATCTCTCAATGCGATTAACCAACTAACAACACCACCTATTTATACCTAGAGAATACAAGGGAACAAACTAACTACAAACCATTAAGACTATATTACAAAACAATGTAAAACTGTTTAAGCTCAAGAACTTGAATACAACATTTTGACTCATGCATTTTATCTTGACAAACAAGTCGCATGATCAGTTCAGAAATTTCATCATTAAGCTCTTTAACTTTAAGATAAAATTTATTTTGAGCTTCTTACATTGATCTCTTCTAAGATTTTAACTCCGCCTCAAGGTCAGAAATTTGCTTCTCTAAAGTAGAAATTTTAACATTTCAGACAAATTTATGATTAGAATCATTTTGCTCAGTATTCTTTTTAGTTAAATCAAAATCATAAATAACCTCTGATTCAGATTCAGGGTCTGAGTTATAGAGCACATTTTCAAAAACATCGGATTTAGAAGTTTCTTCATTTTGTGAAACAAATTTTGAAGAAAGGTTTAAAGATTCTGTGGGATAGAATGTCTCAATTTCAGAGTGTGAAAATTCAAGTTTTCTAGTTGCATAAGTAGAGTTCAAATCTTCATATTTCAATCCCACAATTTTGAAATTTGGTGTTTCAAAACATTCTGCATCTGATTTGCTCATATGACATTTTGAAGAATTTGGTGATTCAGATTGTGATTTAATGAAATTTTCTCGAACAGAAGGAATTGAGAATTTTGCAGACCCCCTTTCATTAAAATCGTACAAAGATTTTGGGGTCTTTTTTCAAAGTGTTAGGCTCAATAAATCCTAAACCTATGTGAGGATTGTAAAACCTTGTGTTTTGGGTTTATGTGTCAAAATTTTCAGAGTCTGCTCAGATTGACCTTCTTTATAGTTTATCTCTTCCAACTAATTGATTTTTGAGTACGGATCATTTCTTTATTTATAAATCAAATCAAATTTTAATTGAGTGTTGACTCTCTCACCCTCTGATTCACTCAAACTCTTTTTCAAGGAAACAATTTGTTTTTCAAGATCAGATTTAAGTTGTTCCTTTTCTTTTCTCAGTTTTTCCTTTTCTTTTTTAAGATCTTCACAAAAAACTTAATAGCTTGCACTCTGATCTATTGCTTGACATCTTCATAGAATTGACTTGAAAATGATCGTTCAAAAAATGATCTTGAACTGACACAAACATAGAATTAAAGATACAATGGAATTGATCTTATTCAAATTCCATCCTTAAGACATATGTCTATCTTATTTATGTTTTTGGATTCACTGACACAGTAGAAATTACACACACATTATATATTGAATGAAAATGGATTATTTCAATCAATAATTCATTCGATACAAGATAGAAAAAGACCGCAAGACCATCAAGCCGCCATTGCCAAACTACTAAAATTCATCGGGGTCACATATTCGCTTCCTTCACCATAAACAAGTGTAAGAGCCGCGAGTTCAGATGCAGTTTCGGTTGGATGAAATTGATCCCAGAACAAAAAATCACTCCTTTTTGCGCACAAATTCGCTCCTACTTCACATCCAGTTACCCCATTGAATGGTCCACTTCCACAACATGCTGTTTTAACTTCTTTGAACCCTGGAAATACATTAATACCAATTGTTTTATTCATATTTTTGTTATAATCGATATAACAACTGTTCTTTTCTGACAATAAAATTGGTTTTTTAGGACATTTAATTATCGTTTGGCATCTCAATAAATAAATAAATATATATATATATATATATATATATATAGGAGCGATCAAATGCAAACCACTCAATTTGTACAAACCGTGCAAACCTCATTCAATCAATCATAATTTTTCATTTTGTTCATTTTTTTGTAATTATGATAGGTTGATTAATCATTTTTATTGTGGAGGGTGTTAATCATAGATATTATCATCTTCATTATTTTAATTTTTAGAGAAATACATGAAACAGTTTCATTAATTTTAGAGAAATACATGAAACAGTTTCATTAATTTTAGAGAAATACATGAAACAGTTTCATTAAGTATTATATGAAACAATTTCATAAACATATATGAAATAACTTGATCAAAAAAAGTATTATATGAAACAATTTCACAAGATTAAACAATTTCATGAAAATTTTTCATAAGATTAAACAATGAAATCGACGGATGAAGGTAGTTTGCACAGTTTACACAAATGAGGACGGTTTTTATTTGATCACTCCTATATATATATATATATATATATATATATATATAGGTTTATAAAAGACTAAGAACAATATATTATATCTAAAGATGCACAAAGTTAGATGACAACAGTAAACATACTAATTAGGAAACATTGGGCAATTTACTATATACCAACTATTCCATCGGTTCCAAGTCTGATTTTATTTGCTTTTTTAATGAGGATGAAGTTTTTGAAACAAAATACTTAGCCCATGGTGCGGTCAGCTATGATATACTCAATTTCATCTCCTCTACGAGGTTGGCGAGGACCTTTGTACGAAGAAATGGGAGGCAAGCTATGACAACAAGATTTATCCTTCTATCGAGAGGGAAGAGGGAAGCAGGTAAGAAGTGGTGCCCTTCTATCTCTAGCAGGTCATCATCCTAAGCGACCTCACCTCACTAAGTCTAGTCTATGTTACGGGTTAAGGCAAAGAAACATCCACTACTTGAAGTAAATGTTACGACCATGAAGAAGCGTTATGCGATAGAGAAGTCAGCATTGCACTTAGACACGTAGTCGATTTCATTAGGGAATTGAGTTACAGGAAGGTCAGCAAATCAGGTATAAGAAATTTTATATACGGAGTTTGGGAAGCTAACAATACACAAAAAGTAAAATCGTTTTATTAACCTTTTCATATGATGGTTTTGAAAAGTGTTAATAAGACGATTTACTTGTATTTTATTAGGTTGTCCAACTTTGTCATATCAACTTCTTGTAATGCTATTAGATAGGATGTCAGTTAAGGTGTTATAAACCTAGATTCGTTAAGTATTCTTTTAGGACGTCCAACTGACCAATTTTGTTGTAGCACATTGGATGTCAAAACTAATTTCGTTGTAGTGAGAACAGTTGTTTGCAGACTTTTGATGATAAACAGAGAATAAACTTACGGTTTCCACGTGGGTTGTCGATAACATTCATGGTCATTGCATAGGTATTCCCGAGTGAATACTTGAATCCTTTGAATACGAGACTAAATCGTGCCAAGTTAGATTGCATCGACCTATAAAACGATCTTGCGTTATCGTTCAAATCTTGCATACAACCACCAGTAGCGTTATACGCACGTGCAGCCGGACAACAACCGATTGGTGGAATATCGATAATCGCAAATTTCCGTGCCCCTAGCTCGTATAGATCCTGCCAATTTCACAACAAAGATTTCTTGAATGAAATTTGGATGAAAACGAATACAAAACATCCACTACAAAAAATCGGGTTATAGGACGTAAAAAATATTTACATCTCATAAGGGACTGATTTATAGACTACAATACTTAGTTTATAGAACCAAACAATTATACATCTTATGCAAAAATGTTACAATAAGTTTATAGGACGTCTTTGTGGCATCTTAAAAGATTTTTAGGATATTTTTGAAATAAAACGACCTATTAATTACTTATATAACATTATATGAAAAAAATATTTTATTAAAACAAATGTCTTATAAAAAAGATGTGATATTTGTCCTATAAAAATGCTAACAACACACTTTATTTCAAATGTGTCCTAAAATAGTTGTTAAGACACCCAAAAGTGCCGTATAAACTTATTGTAACACTTTTACATATAACACACAATTGTTTGGTCCACCAACTCAATTAGGTCATATAAAACAGTTTATTATGATACTTATATATCTTTGGCGTTTTATAAACCCAATTTTATTGTAGTGCTTACTACGACATAATGCAACCTAGTGAGGATCAAATGAAGCAACAAATTTAGGATTAGTAAATTTATACGAACCGCTAGATGTTCGGCATAGGTTTCAGTGAGTTTGGCTAGGAATTTGTCGCGGCCTCCTGGTTGACCCGCGAGTTCAAATTCTATAAGATCGTTGCTACCAATACTGAGAATGTATATTGAATTTTGAAGTAGATCATCAACGGCCTTCGGTGAATCCAATAATTCTGTGATAGCTTGACGAACTGTGGCAAATTGTTGGATTTGCTCCTCCAAACATATCACCTTATGCTGTTTCATTCATCGTAGAAAGAATATGTTGAAAAACTAATTAGAAAATACAACTATATAAAGGGTATAATCGGAAGAAAAATAAGTAAAAAGTAATTCCTAAAGCTTATTGAAACACTAATTGAAGTAATTTAATCAGAAAAAAGTAGATTCTCGATTAGTTTGTTGTTGATCAAACGGGATCTTTTCATTACATCTCATATATATATATATATATATATATATATATATATTAGAGTGTATATGTAACAAAGTCATCCAAAAGATTGCAACTAAGATGCCATTTACTAAACACTTACTTTGGTAAATGCTTACCGATTCAATTATCTTACCGGATGAATATAACGAAGACTGAAAAACTTACCCAGTAAAAAAAAGGAAGACAATGAGATTAATGATTCTTCCCCGGTAAGCTCTTACCGGATTATAAGCACTTATTATCAATCAATTTTGATGCCTACGAATGTTACTAAGTGAGAGTTGTGACTATTACCAAAAAACGCTTATCCAATAAGCACTTACTCGATAAGCGTTTAATAAACGACTTCTAAACCCGTTTGATGAATTTGAAAACTTACAAAGGAAAGTTGACCCGTGGCGCTAAAAATCCCTGATCCTGCCGAAGCGAAGTTGGCTCCACGAAGTAAATTGCGCTTGAAGGTCGACTTATGGGTGGCGAGTAGAGAGAGAAAAGGTGGTGGACTTATTTTGTAATTCCCCAACAGTTTTGCTGCATAATTCAAATTCAAATTCTTATGGACACAAATATACGGATTCCCAACCCGCTATGCGAGCCGACTAATCCTAAGGCGACCACCTGCTTTGCACATAGCCCGGAGTCACCGTATTTGAACCTAGATTTTTATTCCTCCTTGGATTTGAATCTTCGTGGCCACAAGAATATTTTTATTCCTCCTTGGATTTGAACATCCGTGGCCACAAGAAGATTTTTATTCCTCCTTGGATTTGAACCTGGGACCTCCTGTTACTTTTGACGTTTGGAGCCAAGCTCAAACCAATCAGACATCACCCTTGTGGTTGACAGAAATATTTGTTACTAAGTGTTTGGTATTATAAACCGTAAATCCAATAAAACATTCTATTAAAACACTTGGACGTTAATTTACAACTTCCTACGAATCCTATTTTGTTACAGTAACATTACGAACACGCAAACTGGCAAACAGCAAGAGGGAATCGAAATAAATACCGATTTGGTCAGCAGCGTTTTTGCCATTACTATATCTTCCGGTGGGTTTAGAAAACGGAAAATCAATCCCATGGTAACGGTGGTCGGCCCTGGCAGTGCAGTTTTTCAGGTGGTTGTTTGTTCCGACATCTGCCGTGGAATCCCCAAATATGAATATGGCGGCATCCGTCTTATAACCACCCGTTGCCGCCATTACTGTCCTCAATGTTACACCATTGATGGCCACAAATATCACAAAAAGCAAAAGATTTCTTCTTGCACTTGCCATAGTGATCAAGCACTTAAATTATTGCAGATGATTGGAATTAAGTTGAATATTTATAGCAAAGTGTTTGATATATGGACAAGAAGATAAACTGGGATCATTGTATCCACCTAGAATTACCCTTAGTAATTGTCCCTACTTAATACCGTATTTTTGTGTTTGTTTTCATCACTGTCATCAAGAAATGTACGTAGATTACCATGGTAATATATATATATATATATATATATATATATATATATACACATATATATATATATATGTAGGGTTGGGTTCACGTGAGACCAGCCTGTTTTCGTGAGACCCGTAAGACCACATTTTTACACGTAACCTTCACAGCAAAAACACTGTGAATGTTTTAAAAAAGTCGAACCTTCACAACAAAAACACTGTGAAGGTTTTAAAAAGTCACCTTCACAGCATTTTGTTGTGAAGTTTCAAGTGTAAAATGTTGGTCTCACGGGTCTCACGAAAACAGGCTGGTCTCACATGATCCCAAATCTATATATGTATGTATATATATGTATGTGTGTATGTATGTATGTATGTACAAGAAGATCATTTTCGATGCCTATATGAGCTCATATATATGGAACTAGTTACCATGACAGCCATGGCAGGTTGGTAATGAACAAGAACATAAAGACAAGTATAACAAACAAGATTCACCTGAGACGAATATCAAGAATATGTACACCAAACACCGTTTTTAACACCAAATCTCTTGGATGACAACGATGAAATTAGGTTTACAGGACCGTTAAAATGTTTAAATATCTTAGGGGCCGTTTATCAAACACTTACTTGGTAAGCACTTACCGGTAAAATTTAACACTATAAATTACTTACCAGGTAAGATTTTAGTCCACCAAAACGGTATCATATGCAACAATTTACCCGGTAAGTAGCTCTTACCGTGGTAAGAGTCGTCGCCTTCACTTACCGGGTAAGACTCTAGGTCCTTGTGTCGTTCTTATCGGGTAAGATTCTTGGTTCTTACCATGTTCATCCGGTAAAGTAAACGTAGTTTGTTGTTCACTTATCCTGATAAGCATTTGGTAAAAAGCCCTTTATGTTTTATAGGACGATTACAACAAATTCATATTCACAAAGTGTACATAATAACTTCATAGCAAGTTTTTAATAAGTTTTTAGAATATTTTAAATATAAAGTGTTTTATTAGTTATTTTATAGGACAATATATCAAAAAATGTTTTATCTAAAAATATGGGTTTATAAAACATTCTCAAATGTGTTATATAAATTAGTTAATACGATATTTTATTTTTAAAGTTATTTAAAAAAACTTATAAACCTATTATAACAATTTTAAAATATAATACTTGATTGTTTGGTCCTATAAACTTAAGTTTTAATAAAGTATATTATTAGAACATTTAGACATTTTAAACCTGCTATAAATTTAATTTTGTTATAATGTGATTGTAATAAAAATAGTGTTACGAATAGTAGAACATAAGTTTATTGTGTATTTGAACCAAAGGCGGACCTCAAAATAACAGGGGTCAAGGTCGGCCAGTGAGACAATAGAAGATAAGCTTCATAATTTTTTTTAAGTGGTGACACGGTTTGACTATAAAAATGTAACTATGGATATTTTTTCACAAAATTATTGTTGGTTTGTTGATTAGTTCCTTGTTTTTCATATGTGAAGTCTTATGTTCGAGTTTTTTATCCCAAGAAAAGATCATGCAAGCAAACTCTACCAAGAGAAATTTGTGTTATTATTGTAGTTTCAAGAAAATATATGGTTGCATCCAACAAAATAATACGGTAGCACCTTTCATGAACCTAAACCTTTTTACACTATAATGGAGGAACGAAGAAATGACACGTGCCACCATACGCACCATAGTGGGTCTGCCCCTTATTCGAAGGTGTTTATCAGTTCACTATCAGTTAGTTCTTCGATGGGAATTGCGGTGATGGTTATCTTCGTCGGAGAACACCATGTATTGTGGTTGTTTTTGTTTGTCTTCATTGATTCTAGATTTCTTCCGAATGGCTCTGTGGCCTCTGAGAGCTTGAAACGTAGAAAAATGTTTGATTACACATCTTGCAATTTTAAAAATAAATCTCCATTTTTAGGGGTTCTCCCCATCAAAATACTCTTTTTTCTAAATTATATGGTGACATGCATATATAAATTAAAATATTCAATTACATTTTTTATAGGTTTTATGCATATGTCCATAGGTAATCGTATTTAATCATTCCTCTTTTGAATCTAGTGTTTCTGAGTTTTATGCACATGTACATAGGTAACAACAATATTCAATAACTCTTTTTCTTAGGTTTTATGCACATGTTATGTAATGGTATTTAATTACTCTTTTGCTTAGATTTTATTCACATGTGCATAGGTAACAATATTTAGTTACTTTTTTTTCTGGCTTTTATGCATCTCTGCATATATATAACAATATTTAGTAATTCATCTTATGGAAATATGTTGATAAGTGTTATACACGTGCATAGGTAACTGTTGTCCAGTAATATAACCCAAAAAAAACTATAGCAAATGGAAGGTCAAGCAAGAATACAAATTCAACCAATATCGTCTAAATCAATTAATAATGGTAAGAATACCTCGATACACAAGGAATTTGAAAGTAAAAAAATCAACAAATTAATCTTAAAATGAGATTTCAAATTGTGAATTAAAAAAACTGCTTTCGGGTTGAGTTAACAACTACTGAGATGTTACAATAATTTAAAAGAAAGCATGAGGACAAGATTAGGTTGGGGTTTCAACTCAAATTGCAGTAGAACTTTGCGACAACATAACATGAGATTGCTGCAACAATAGTTCTCAGCGTTCACTATTGGATTAAACAACCTTCTTTCGGAAGGCATATTAGACACTTACTTGCAGTACTCAAAAGAACACAAATCCAAGTATGGTACATATCTTACTTTTATTTCCATATAGTTTTGCAACCCACGAAGGTTGCTGGAGCTATTTATAGCTATCAATAACATTCTTAGTTAAATTATTTGTGTTGTCTTAATTTTAGATCCAACTCATGTGAGTAAAATAACATGTGTTAATTGTCAAAGATTACTATATTAAATATTAAAACCAAGAGTGAGTAATGGAGTAGATTACTAGGCAAAAACAATTAACCACTTAGGGGTTGTTTACCAAATTTTTTATTAAGTCCTGTATGGATAAATTTATCTGTCAGGATAAATTTGTCTGGTTGGATAAATAGGCGTTGTTGTTTACTTTTTTTTATCTGAACCAACAGTCTGAATAACATAAATGACCGATTTACCCTTCAATATTAATTATTTGAACATCAAACAAAAAATCATAAACAGGTCGAAGATGGGGTGTCTCATATGGGAAGGAGGCGATGCTTTAAATAAGGGGTAGGAGTGTCATTTTGTAGCTGAATGGGGGCAACACACCATTTCTATTTGTGCGATTAAGCCATGTTTTGTACGAATAAGCCGTAAGTAAACAACCCAAATGAGCTGTGCGAATAAGCCAGATAGACCAATAAGCCTAATTAAGCCACAAGTAAACAACCCCTAACACATAGGCTTATTCTTCTAACCTTTTACTTGCACGCACATTAGGGTGTTTAGCTCATACTCGCTAGAAATGATGACATGTATATAGAAGACATAAAAGTAAATAAATATGAAAATAACTTTATGGAAATGTAAATCGTGCATAGAATATAAAGATGCAGAAACAGTAAGAACTTGTTGCACCAATAGAATGGTAACCAAAAGATTAAGGAGTTAAATTCAAAACTAAATGATTACACAAAAGACTTACAGAATTCAAAGCTTAGAAAAACTTGATATCAACAGTACTAGTTCCATCCCCTTTTATACTAAAGAGGAGGACTAAAGGATACACAAAAGTCGACTAGAGAACATAATATTTAACATACAAAGACCATGTAAAAAGTCAACTATAAAAGCAACTAGGTCTCCCTTCATGCTTGTCTTAGCGAGCTACACCTTCTGAATTCTAACTTTGTTGACTTACAAACCCGATATATTCCAAAAGCTGAGTGCAAGATTTTTTCATAAGCTACCAAAAAATAATCAACTCCCCATTGTTGTAGCAACCTGTAACACATTTATGTTATCATAGTATCCAAAATATGGAAAAATATAACCAACTTTCATATTTTATCTTATCTTTTGGCTATTTTTAGTCAAGTTCGTTGTGGCCGATTGTGTTGTAACCCCTATATATTTCTTCCCTTCTAATGTAATTGATAAGGGTGTAGAAATACACTCTTGAGCACCTATTTAGGACATTATTTTGCTTACTTTTACAATTCCTAGAACACATATTGAGTCTTTTATTCATATTTTACATTTTATTAAGGTCTGGAGCTAGATTGTAGGACTTGGTTATGGTTTGCTTGTTCTTTGAGTAATTTGGGCTAATTAGTGTACTGCTACAGTAGGTACCAATACAACAAGGGCGAGCAGATCACAACCACTAAGGGTTGATGAAAAATCTTGGCGCTTCATTTTTGAATGGAAGAATCTTTTGATGAAGTCAGCAAAATCTGGAGGAGAAAAGAAAAGATCTAGCTAATGGTACCAACTTAAAAGTACCTAGTTTGAGTAGAAGTTGACTTCATGTTTGTATCTTGGGCAATAACTCATGGATATTTACTTTTGTATTTCCTACTTTATGCTTTATGCTAGTATAATAGTGAAAAATGTGGACCACGGGGCCATGAGGTCCCCGCCAATAAACCTTTTTTTTTTAGTATAATAGTGAACTCTAGTTTTATTGTAAGTAAGCAAGGAATCATTAACTTACTACAAGTTTCGATCTCTAAACCTTTCGCTCTTTAATTATAATCTTGAAAGCTTTTGGTACTTTACTGTTGCTACAACAATATTCTTCATTTCTGCACATTTACTTTCTACGCATTTAACTCCCGACACTTTACTTTTATGTTATTTAAGCTTATGTTATTTACATACTTGTCTTTACATTCAACAATGATGAGCTAAAACATCCTAGCTTGGGTGTAAATGACGGTTGGATGATCAAGCCTTAGTGTTCGTGGATAATTTCTTTTGCCGTAGCAATCTACTCATTTATTCACTCTTGGGTAGAAGACTTCACCGGGTAATTCTTGACAAAGTGATGCATGTTGTTTCACCTTGGTGAGTAGGACCTAAATTTAAGACAACGTAAATAATTTAACCATGAAGGTTATAGATGACTATATGGAGTTACAATAACATTCATATGTTGTTAAACTATATGGAAAGAAAGGTAAGATATGTACTCAGCTTGGATTTGTACATCTCCATGTGTACTGCCGACATATGGTCTAATTTGAACTTCGAAAAAAAGGCCGTTTGATCCAATAGTGGCAATAGAAAATTATTGCCGTAGCATTATTCATATGATGCTGTAGCAAAGTTCTACTGCACTCTGTTGCTGAAATGCCAACCAGATCTTGCACCCATGCTTTTCTTTCCAGTATTTGATACATTTTCAGGAGTGTTAACCAAACTCAAAGTTATTTGCTTTCTAAAGCTTCATTGCTTCCACAAAATCTCTTGAAATCTTACTTTAAGATTAACTTTCTATAACTCTTTGCTTTTAAATCCCCGTGGAACGATATCTAGTACTATTTATCATTATTACTTGCGTTGGACGACACTAGTAAGCCATGTATACTTGCACAATTTGCTAGTTGCTATAGCCTTTTGGGGTTATATCCAAACTACACCAGTAATCAAAGCAAGTCGAATAGAAATTCCATTATTGAATTTTCACAATATATGTATATGTATATGTATATGTATATGTATATGTATATGTATATGTATATGTATATGTATATATTGGTTACAATATATCACCAAGTACATATAAGATATAAATATACGTATCACAGTATGTTTATTGAAGTTCGCTCAGGTCACTAATTGTGACCATTATGCCCCCCATAAGCCGATAACATCATAATGAATAAACTTATACATTAGAGAAAGAAACTAAAGGATGAAAAATCCTTGATGGTACATCCTCGACCATTTTTATAGTCAAAATATAACAAGCTGTAAGTAGTAAGGGAAGGGGTAAGTTTGTTGTCCTCGTCTCTATCGGGGATGAAGAATCAAATAATTTATATTACTTATCAAAAATCACATTTTCATTAGTACACACACATAACAACTAGTTTTGGGCACACAAAAAATAGTTTTAAAAAGTAAAGAAAACACACTTGAGAACAAAAAAACAGGCATTAGGGGGGTCTTTTTGACCATTGACTGGTCCCCAACTGGTCCTTTTTGGTCCTTAATTTAGATTGAAACCGAATGTTGATCGGTTTTTTTTGTTAACTATATGTGTTTGGATCAACTTGGTTCCACTTCGACTAATCCAATATGGTCCTAAAGAGAACAACCAAGCAAACCCCTAGTAGGCTTGAGTAGATTTGAGCTAACGACCTATAGGAAAAAGTCCTAATGGCTGGTCTTTAGCTGTTTGCTAAGCTAACCCACGAGTTTAATCAGGTTTTGTAGTAGTTGGTCTTAACCTGTCTTTTCATGGAAAAAATAGACAAAATAGAGATAAACTTTTTGGTTCAACACTGGTACGTGTTCAGATGCACCTTAACCACATTTTCTTAAACAGTTTCAAACCGAATCTTAATCATTTTGACCATCTCTAGCATGAAGACAAATCATGTATAATTTTGGATCATGTTTTGGCTCCCAATATTTATAGATAACCCTACCTCCCTACCCACATGGTGGGGTAGTTTTGTACCAATTTCTGTAAATTGTGTACCAAAACCACATGCCTCCATAAAACAAGGTACTAAGATGCAATTATCCCCATTACTAGACGTCGTCCTCCTCCTCCAATCTCCATTGCTCGACCTATGTCCTCGCCTGCTTTTCGAGCATTCTTTTCATTACCAGACTCCCAACTGCTCCAACACTCTGCTTAGTGTTTCCGATATGCAATTATCATAAGCTCAGCAAAAGCTGTTTAGGGCTTCTGTTTCAGGTCGTTGAGTTGAATGACGGTGATGGGTTTTTGCGTTCCTTCTCGTGACACATCTGATCGTTTCTCCGACAGATGCTCCAACGTCTTCCCTTGTTTATCAGATCCCGGTATTACTTATGCCCTTCTGTTATATGTTCTTCTGCCATGTGTGTGTGTGTGTAACATTTAATTTGATTTGTGTTAATTTTGGTTGCAGCTAGAAGATCTACGATGTGTTTGAAATTGGCTTTGGTGATGCTGCATCTAATCTTCGTTGGTTTTCTTTTTATTGTCGATGACGAATTGAAAGAGAAATCAAAAGAACAGCCTTTGTAAGCACACATGCATTCACTGATACACACTTCATTTACTATTAGCTAAGTGCGTCCATATGGTATTCTGCATATAATTTCGATTTGTTTGGGGCTTAGGCAACTAAAATTGTTGTTACTGGTTTTGTGAAGGTTATATGTGGTAATTAGGGGCTAACTAATTCGTTTTGTTTATGCACATGTTTATTTGATTGGAATCTGGAAGTTTGTTAACCTTTTGGAAGTGATCATGTAACCAAACAAGTGTTCTTTATCAAGAAAAGTAGTGCCACTTTCCTTTTTAGTCCCCTCCAAATGTACCAATTGGCTAGGATAAGGGTATATATTGAAACTACTAGTTATAATCTTCATAATGTTCCAACTTTACTCATAGCTATAAGTCTATAACTTACCTTTATTAGGAAGCTTTACTAAAAATATTGATTGCTACCTAGCTGGTTGCGGGCATAAGCTCTATAACTCTCATCGGTTTAGAAGCTATTTTGTAGAAGAATATGATCATGCACTGCCTTTGATAACTGGACCCTATCAGTTTCTACCGCCTCATGTCAATAGTTTAAGATTGAAGTCAGCTACTCAATCCGTGGCCTCTTTCACAATGTTGGTATCTAAATCAAATTCAACATTAAGTGTCACTTGGTTTTGAATATAACTCATATATTGCAGCTTTTCTACTTAGCAACATACCTACTGGGAAAAAAATGTTCGTCCTTTGGTTTGCATCAAGTCAGAAAAAGTTTATTCTGCTAATTTCTTCACTTTGATTTTGACATATGGGGATGGTTACTTTCAGAGGCGTACTGAATCCCTTTGAAGCATATAATTTTGTGCAGCCTATATTTGTAGCATACAAAAGAGTCGACGAGTGTGCAATTTATTGTTTTTTAGAAGACTAGAAGAGTCTCATGGGCTATCATCAACAGTTTAGTTCAAAACAATGTAGTTTGGGAATTTAGGATGAATAGATTCTCCCAGTCTTCTGCTTTCATGAACCAAGATAAGCAGTACCCTATTATTAAGCAGGAGGATTAATGGCTAATCTACTCCTGAAAGTTGCTTGGAGCATGAGTTAGAGTAAGACTCAGTAGGGAAGTTCATGATCTGTTGATAACATTGGTGTATATCCAGTGTTGAAGACAACTTGCCAGTCATTGTCAACTTTTGTCTTTCATCGGTCTCGCTTCTCAGCACATAGCCAATTTTCAAAAACTTAAGGAGAATTTAAGACGAGCTTCATGGGTTATTCAATAACACTTTTTGTTTCAGAAAAAATGTGAATTCAATGCTACATGTCAGTATGTTACTTTAGCTATTCAATATGCACCCAAAGCCATTTGTAAAAGTGTATTAAATAAAGCGGTCATGATTTTCCAACAAATATGCCATCCGCTCGTTTGCAATGCAACATCTAATAGGAAAGAGATAATTAGAAGAAATATTTGTTTGTTGATCACTACTAGTCAATCGAGAACGAGAATGCATGTGTATTGGCTGCAGGGGTTTGGCATTTTAATAACACCAAAATTTGGGTGCAGCACACACAATTATGGCATGTGTATGCTAAATAAAAATAAAAAGATGTTTACTTCACAAACAAACATCATCAAAGTACTTAAATCTGCTTAACACTAGTCCATTGGAGTACCAAAAAGAAAATAGAGATGAGTGGAGAGAAGGGACAAACACAACCACAAGTATTCGGAGGGCGTGAGTGCTTTATGTTTTTGAAAAGCAAATGTATAGGATGTCTTGAATTAAGTACCAGGTATGTTTTTCTTTTCTTTGGGCAAAGTATTGGGAGCATTGAAACCAAAATTTGACACAACAAAATACAAGTGAAACCCTTGAGGAGAAAGCCAAGCTGTGCCACACCCATACCTAAGTCATATGTGCCACACCTGATGCAGCTAATTCATATCCGTTTTTAAGACATATATATTGGACTGCACCCATGCCTTTGCATTTGATATGGATATGGCACTCTAACTCATGTATAGGTGCTTAAAAGCTTCTAACTATTTACATTCTCTTCATTTGTTTGAGAATTCTGTATGTGATTACTTTTAATTAACTTGCCTCACACCTCTGTTCTACAGGTATACATTGATCTATATGTTGTTGGTTATTGCTACATTAGTTCAGTATTTCCTTACCTCTGGTTCTTCTCCAGGGTATGTGATCAGCTTATATTATGTACTTGAAAATATATAATCTCAGTTTGTGCCTTCCCAGCAGTAGAATAGAGTAACATTCTGTATAACAGTTTTATACCTGGTTAGGTATGTACTTGATGCAATGAGAGATTTTGCTAGGACAGAAGCTTTATTAAGGGCATCAGAAATCTCAAAGTAAGCACTTATTCCAACTTTTATGCTGTTGACCTTTATTTTCAAGATATTCTTGGGTAAAATGAGTATCAAATATATTCCCTCTTTTCTACAATGAATTAGTTCTATTAGGGTGTTTTTGGTACGTGGAACAGGGTGGGACAGGACAGGACAGGACACACTTGTAGTGATATTCTAAGAAAATACTTGATATTGTACTGTCTTTTCTCAATACATGACAAGATCTAACTGTCGTATCTTTCTTTGTTTATTGATGCAAATGATCAAGCAAAGACAACCTGCTTCAAGCAAAAATGGCAGCGTAGTTCTGACTGTAAACAGAAACCAAGTGGGAGAAAGTCTACTAGGGAATAACCCAATGAATTGGACAAAGCTGGTGATGGACATGTACCCGCCTGGAACATCTGTCAGGTAGAATAACTTGATTATAGTCAAATTTAGGAACATTTATTTATATTAGTATACCTTGTATACAAGTATAAAAGCATTCAATACAAGTAATTAAATTATTGCAATACCTTTATTTTTTGGAAAGAAGCAATACCAAGTTAATAGATCTATATGTATGTATATATATATGTGATATAATATAATTATATTTTAATTTGAATATAGTTACTTCAAACAATAGTTTGAATTAAATTAAACCTGTTGTATAATTATTGAATATTTTGGGTTTAATTAATTGGAAATTTCTGCTTACCTACTCACGCCCTCAAAGATTTGAAATACCATATCAAAACCATGGTGTATATTTGATGGGTCCAAAAATACAAAACTTGAGAACATTTTTTCCAAGAAATCAATGCTTTGTAGAGTCAATAGGAATAGCAAGGGCTCTATAAAAATGCACACACAAACACTACGGAAAATTTTGCACCAAAAAGTAGGAAATGGAACAGGTGGGGGAAGGTTTTCATACAAAAAGAATAAAGCATTCCACCTTGAGAAAGTGCTAAAACAAGTGACCAAGTTCAGTAAACACTACCCATGTCTATTTCAGCCCTTCCCATGTTGAATACATGGTGAAAACAAACCATTCAATTATAAATCCACTGGCAATTTATTTTACAACCTGAACGAAGAACATGGTGTTATCTTATCGTCTTCAATCATCCATCTGGTTGTCTAGCAATAAAGTACTGGGAATAACCCATTTGAGGAAAATAATAAGTTGATGTAACCCCTGATCTTTTGACACGTAAATATGTATATGATTTCCATTTGAGGGAATGGAAAAGGGACTCGTGATAAGAAGGAACTCTAAGGGTCTGTCTATTAGCAGCTTAATGAGCTTAATGAGACTCAGGGGCCGTTTACCAAACGCTTATCCGAGTAAGCGCTTACCAAGTCACATTACCCTATCGAATGAATATAATAAGGACCAAGAATTTTACCCGGTAAGAGCGAGACAAGGACCAAAAGTCTTACCCGGTAAGTGAGGGCAACGATTCTTACCACGGTAGCGCTTATCGGGTAAATTATTGCATACAATATCGTTTTGGTGGACTAAAATCTTACCAATTAGGTAATTGATAGTGTTAAATTTTACTGGTAAGCGCTTACTGGGTAAGTGTTTGGTAAACGACCCCTCACTGTGTATTCGGTCAGCTATACATGACTGTATGGTAGTGGCTTAATGATATTAGAAAGTGGCTTATTCAGTAAGTTTTTAGGGGGGAGCTTCATGTAGAAAGCCAAGTTTCTTCCAAACCTGTCCCTTCCAATTAAAAAACAGGCTTCTTCCATCTATGAGAAAACCCTCCCAAACAAAAACCTTCACAATTTGTACAAAAATAATTCCACACAGACAACTTTATCCATATAGGATTTAGTGGAAAACCAACCAAACAGCCCTTTAGAGGCATTGATGTTCTAGCAAAAAAATATTCCGAGTTTTGCATTTTCCAATCATTCAGATGTCCCTCATTGACTTTGGTTTTGGGTTCCTACGATGATGGTAGGGATAACGTCTTAGTTACCTCTACCAATTGTTTTTGTTCCTACACTAGATTTACTAATTCCATTAGAAGCACCTTAAATATAACTGCATTTTGAGTTACGGTGAGGACAATAGAAACATGCAAATTGAACATGGTATGTAAAATTTGGTGCTGTTTTGGACTTCTTTCGAGCAGTGGGGACTGTGGACCAAGTGGCTAATTAAGCAGATGCATAAGGGGCTCTATTAAATATATAAAATATAACTAGTATTAGGTTATGTATATGAAAAATAAGAATTCATACCACATTCTGGTAGTTCTCTACATTGCTAATTTCGCTGTTTCAATGATGCAATAGCTCACAAAGGATTTAAAAGATTACCTCTGAGTTGAGGAAGTTGATAAATCTCCACATTATTCTTTCAACACTTGATGCAAGATTAGTTGCTAATTGAAGTGATGAGGGTTGTTTAAGCCTAGGTGGCCTACTAAATAATCGAGATGGTATGGGGTCACTTAATGCCTAGGCTGATGCTTAGTCAGCCCTAAGCAGGGAATTTTAAAACACTGTTTTTGAGGAAGGATGGCCTATGTGGACTAAGTGTCATAGTTGGGTGGCCTCCAGGTCTGTTACCCCTGTCTATGATACTATCCGGTGAAATCATGCAATTGAAACAATTGAGGACTCATGTTGATTTTCTTGTTAATGAAAAAGTTTCTGTGAAGTATGAAAGCTACAAGAAGATCAAACAAATATAAAAGTGAAGTAGTCATGGTGGTGTTTATTCATCATACCATATAAATTAAAGAACTACTAAGTTTTGTTCATAAAATCCTAAAATAACTTTTAGGTAAGTCCACAAAATTGGATGATAACAGAAGATATTAGTAATCTTGGGGGAAATATGATATACTCTAGCATTCATGCTTAAGCTTGAATATGATATAAGTTCAGATGGAATGCTTCACATGATAGGTTGGTTAAGTCAAGGACCTATGGCTAGTTTTTTTTTTCTTTTTTTGAAAAAGAACCTATGGCTAGTTTTCTCGATCACACACGTAGAATATTGGATATAATCCCTAATATTCTCCCGTACTTGTGCATCTTCTGCCAAGTTGAGCGGCAAGCATATGGGATCTTCTAGAAGTCTTCTTTTTCAAATATTTTGCGTGTCAACTGAGCCCTTGAAGATTTGTCTTAGGAGACAAGATTGGATGATTTGGCAGGCATAAAATGAAATTTGAACCCTGTTCCAAATTTCCAGTCGCTTGAAACAAGCCCTGCTTCTCCCTGAGTAAACAACAATTGTTACGACTCACTTGACTACCTGCTTTCCAAGCCCAGGTCCCTTCCAAAGAAATCTGTAGAGGGTGGATTGAATGGATGGTATTAATCCTATAATAATTATGGTGATTCTTTGTCTGGTAGTCTCTTTCATTATATTATATGAAATTAGTACTACACACTTGAGGACAAACCTTAACTGACAGCTTCTGTTTGTTTCAGGACTTACACCTGTTCATACTGTAATGTTGTGCAGGTAGCTCTCTTGTTTGTATCTTTCTTTTGTATGGTATAATTGATTTTGTTGTTGAGATCTCAACTTCATGATGATCAAAATTCTTAAATGTTATGGAGATTGGGATTTTATGTAATTTGCTATCTTTTCTGAAATGATTGAAATACACACACCCTGTTACTGGAGAGTTTCGAACCACAACCACTGGTTCAAGAAACACAGTTAGTACCAGCTGAGGCCATTGGTGAACTATTTGCTACTTGCCTACTTTTGACTAGGCCTCCTTGTACCTTTGGGAGTGTTTGTGAACAAATGGTGAGTGATCAATAGAAACCTACTTTAAGTCACTTTTGTCAAAGTGCCATTTTGATATGGATGACCATAGATTGAGCACTCCAGGTAAGAGCAGATCTACAGAGATTCAACATTATAGAAGGAAGCAACTATGTGTCAGCAACGGAAGCCAGTGCCGTTTTCACTAATGTGAATCTGGTCAAGTTTCAAGCAATAATTTATTGGAAGCCAAAGTAAAAAAAAGGTGACTTTTGCTTAATTCGTCATAATCGCTTAGAAAGGTTTTCATAAATGAACTTGTTTGGTTTGCTGGTGCCTTTCTCATCGTCTCCATTACCATCAAGAGAACTAGAGCTTCACATATCTGAAATTAACGAAGCTGCAGAGGCAAGGTAATCTCTGAAGTAGAGTGTCGCGCCCTCCCTTAAAGAGTTCCTGAATTGGGCAGTGTCATTTAGTGGGCCATGGAGTCTATGGGACATGAATGTAGGCATGCAATAAGGGTGCAAATTGTAATTTGGCAAAAAGAACTTGGGAGTAATTTTTCTCTAGATTCTTTCAAGTCAAGGCACAATCTTTTGCTCTCTTAACCATATACCTTGGAGAGAGCGAGATAGAGAAAGATAACTGCGAGCAAGAGGGGGAGTGACTTAACTTTGCCTTTGATTTGATAGGTTAGAAAGTCATGTCCCAAATTGATAGAACTGACAGAATAAAGGAAATTGTTTTCCCTAAATTTTCTTTACCAAGTTATGAATGAAGTAAAAATATATATTTTGATTGAAATGTATTATGCATATGACACAGTTTAAAAAGGGCCTCATGCCATTTAGTTGACTCAAGTCCATGTTGAAAAAGGGATATCTGCCATGTCAGTTAAAAAGAGGCCACCATGAACCATGATTGTTTCATAATCAAAATCAACCAACTGTATTGTATGATATTTGTCGTTTGGTAACTCGCATCTATTCCAGCGCTAAATAAGAATGGAAGTGCTCTGCAAGGGTGTTATTACAATCCATGATTTCAATGCATAACTTTGCAGTTGCCACTGTTTATGGTGTACTTCATTGTCATTGTGATTATCAGGATATGTTTTAGTGCTATTATTATAATTGTCATCTGTCATCTGTTTTTGGTACACACACCAAATCCAGTCCATTATCCACTTGCATGTAATTCTACTTAGTGTCATGCACGTTATTGCAGAATGTGAAATAGCAAATTTTCCATAACAGCACCTGAGATATCTAGTATCAAAATTTATGACTTTGGTGTAACTTTACTGTAGCCTCCAAGAGCAAAGCATTGCCATGATTGTGACAGATGTGTTCTTCAGTTTGATCACCATTGTGTTTGGCTGGGAACATGCATAGGCCAGGGAAACCACTGTCGATTTTGGTGCGTACATCTTTTTTGCTTGTAAATTAAACTTGTTATGAAATTCTCCTCTTTCTTCCTATATGTCTGTTGTAACCTTAGATTTTTTCCAGTTTCATTTTCTGTGATTTTTTACAATATGTTTTTCTTTGATTAAATGATTGACAGGTGGTACATCCTCGAGGAAACAGCCTTGAGTATTTGGACTGGCATTTTGTATATTAAGTACCTACAAGCTCATATTGACAAGGCATGGTATATTTTCCTTTTCCTTTTTGACCGTCCTTATAACTAAAGGAGATAATGAAATGAGATGAAAAGGAATGGAAATAGATAATGTAGATTTTCTCTTATCCAGTGTTGTATGCTCATTTTGCACTTGTTTTTTCAATCATATTCAAGGATGGATCATGTGTTTGTTCATTTCATTCAGGTTGGTGGATGTGATCATGATCATTCTACTATCTATATTGTCAATCGCATTGATATTTCTTCTCCTCCTTCTTCTGTTCCATAGGTGAGTTTTTATCCTTGGACTGCTTACAACTCTCATGTGTATCATTTGTTTTAGCAGACAAATTATTATTATAGCCATGAAGTCTATAGGTCACCATTAAATATTTATGCTAAAATAGTCGAAAATAAGAGTTCCAGATAGTTATCCTTGTTGAGCATGATAAAATGTCTATAGTCTATAAGATGTCTGTAGTCTATACATCTATAATATATCATATGATAATTTTGTTACAGATGGTTATTGTTGTTGAACATGATAGTTTTTTTTATCATGTCTATAGTCTATAACCATTTGTAAGAATATCTATTAGATGTATTATTGAAAATTTAGATGTATTATTTGAGTTAACACTAGAGCGTATTAGAAGTTAGCAGTGGCATCTATCATCTCCAGGATTTTGGAGGGTTTGGACTTAATAGCTCACAGTCTCACGCATTCTTTTGGATCTTTGTCTCCTTAGAATTTCAACACATTAGGAGACACTCTTGACATCATAAGATCATTTCCCAAATGTCCTCTCCTTCAAGTCAAGAGAGTAATAGATACATTTGAGATATGAAGGTCTCTTGTTTTTTTGTATGCGGAAGAAATATTCACATGTGGCCTTGAGGAACATGAAAATAGTAAAACTTGAAACGTCAGGCATCTTGTGGTGCCAACTGTTGACAGATTGCTATACATTCATGCATGTCAGTCATTTAAATGTATCATTGGAGACACATGCATCCAATGATACATTTTTCTTCTAATTAGGTCCAGTCTCTTTCATATGATTGTCTCTGTTCCCTATCTTTATATACAAATGGTTTGATAACATCTATGGTGCAGTCAATTCTGCTGCAATGATATCAAAATGTCCCATGTTGGTTTTATGATGTTGTCAGAGATTGGGAGTTTAGTTTCTTTGATGAACTTGAAAATGTACATCTTTATCGGTAAATATATCTCTTTGATAAAGCATTCACTTGAATTTGCTCCTTCTCTATCTTTTCAGTTATCTAGTTGTGACAAATCAAACCACCTATGAGCTGGTGAGACGAAGGCGTATACCATATATGAGGTTAGTTGATTAATCATATGCTTCTTTTGCATGGTTTTATCTAAAGCTATAAGACTTCATATCCAATAGATTGGGGACTCTTAGTCTATAAATATGGCTATGCTACATTAGAACTCATATGCTTCCAGTATTTTGTTGACAAAGACGATGTTAAGATAAAAGGTTTGCTATACTTGTATATGTAACAAATTATAAAAAGCACCTATTCTTTAAACACCATCTAAAGCTTGATCACACTATAAAAAATATACATTGGACATTTATGTATTATATACACACAAACACACACACACAAAACATAAAGCTAGCATAAGTATCAAAAGCCATTGTGGGGTTGCGAAATTAAAAGTGTTCCTCCCCATCGCTCGCCAATTTGAGTCTATTTAGAACCACAAGTGATTTTCCATGTTTAGGGCCCATAGGGTTAGTTGAGGTGCATACAAGCGGGCTCAGACATTCACAATTACCAAAAAGAAAAGTTACAAATATTCCTGTCAAAATTTAAGCATTATAGCAACTAGTTGAATCTCCAACTTTAAGAATGGACAATTAATGCTCGGAATTAATGTGCAGAGCAATCCCAGAAAGAGTATATCCATTCAGTAAAGGTGCATGCAGAAATCTGTACAACTTCTGCTGTGCAAGAACAAGCATATACAGAATGGAAGTGCTGCCAAGTGCAGCTGAGCTCGATCAGAAGTCGGTACCATATACTTGTGTTGATGTCATATCGTGTAGATGTTGCTGAACTAATTACTTATGTGCATATAACAAATTTTCCACACAAGAGTTTGTTGTGCCATATTATTAGTATCCAACCGACCATATTATCGTTCAGCTGTGAGCCAAAGCTTTGCCTATGTATTCTGTCAGGGTTTCTTTTTTGGGATAAAGATGTATTCTGTGCGGTAGTGACTTCATTCTCATCTTTGTGTTTCATCGAAGAATTGAAATGTATCGTATTGGAGATGCTTTAATTCTAGAAATACGTTACTCGATTAAAAGATGATCAATAAACCAAAATAGGACATTTGAAAGAAATATAGGGAAATGGTTATTTGATGATTCTCAAAGGTTTCCAATTTTTTTGAGTGTCAAAACAGGTTTAAGAAGCCTGCTTCAGGACCGGTTAATAGGCCTGATTCAAGACTGCTCAAAGACTAGTTTGCGTTAAATGTTAATTTACTAGTGAGGACTGTTTAACGTTTAGTGGCAGGAGTTACCACTCTCACTTGCTTTATCGGATAATAATTTCAACCATTACAATGGATTGTTGGTAAGCATCTTTTACCTGGTAACCGTTAACCGTTAACCGGGTAAGTCTTCTCTCTAGTTTACCGGATAAGATTCTCAGTTCTTACTACATCTCTTATTGGGTAAGATTCCCGGTTCTTGTCATGCTCATCCGGTAAACGCTTACTAAATAAGCCTTTGCTAAACAACCCCTGAGAATGTAAACCAACTGGTTTTAAGCTACATTCTTGTTCAAGTATTCCACAACTATATACATATACTAGAAAAGTTTTGATTTGTGGCTGGCAAAACCAGTCTTGGACTAGATTAGTGATGGCCAAAAACCGGTTCCAGGCCTCAACAATGTTGGTCATAACTGGTCCCAGTCCCTGTCGAAAATGGTAAGCCCGGTTAAGGTTATGTATGACAGGTTATGATGATCCAGTCTCGGGCCCAACCATTAAAAATATATTTTTTTAATAATATATTTTTTTAATACATTATAATTCAAATACACTTTAAAAATACGTTTTATTATAATTAGAATTACATTGTCTTCCAACAACACATTATAAAATTATTTGAAAATACACCTATTCATCATAGGTTAACCATGTCGGATTGATTTGAAGAGTTTCGATCTCTTGAATTCTTCTAAGAGCCTCTTGGTCATCAAGGTCATCAATGTCGAGTTCCTCATCATCGTCATATTGTGAGTAAGTGCCGTCGGTATCGGTAGTTGGCAGCGTGCTTAGTTCCATGATAATTTCATTTTCTTTCAAAATTTCTTCCACCACTTCAATCTCCACTTCTAACAATGTCGTGTGTTGAATTCTATTAACGCTATCCAATTAATCCTTCAAACAGATGCAACACTCCACGGACTTGGGGCTTAGTCTTGTCTGATGTATCGAAATGATCCTGTCACTAAGAGAAAAAGCGGACTCCGAAGCTATGGTACTAGCTTGGATTGTTAGTATATCACGTGCCATGCATGCCAAAACCGGGAATTGAGGTTGTTTTTGTCTCCAAAAATCTAATAGATTAATTATTTCAAAATCTTCGACATCATTTACGGGGCATGTAACCATAAAGTTAGTATGCACATACATATTTAGTTCACCCAAATAATTATCAAATCTACTTTTTTTACTTGATTCATTTAAAATCCCGTTCATTAAATTAGTAATCAACTCTTTCCGACTTTGACGATGACCACTAGAAGAACTAGAACTCGCAAATCCATGACTTGGAGAGCTTTGTTGTTGGTTTCTTCCCCCATAAAAATGTTTATAATGATCAAATAAATCTTGAAAATTACAATTAAACAAACATTTTTATTCCATTGAAAAAGAATTATCCGTAGCCGTATACAAACCAAAGAACACACATATTTGTGTAATTAAAACTTAAACACCAATAACATTTAAATACGGGTTCAACGCCGCAACACAAAGAAAAACAAATGGGATGCTCATAATATATTTTAACAATTTCTTTTTCATTGAACTCATCAACCATCCCCAATCGTGATGATCTTCGTATTGTGCAATTTTACTTGCCAAAATATATAATTGATTTAAAAGTAAAGGCTTGTTGGATAATAAATACCGAATAAAAGTGTTGTCGCATTTTTAAAATTGTCCAAAATATCGTACAATCCTTCAACCATGACCCAATCAAGATTTTTAATAGAATTTTGTGGGTAATGGTGTTTATAAAATGAAAAAAATATAATTTATTTGTTTTATTAAATTTCCAATCATAAAATAAGACGAATTTCATCGAACGGGCATATCGAACCTCGATTCCAAAGCTTTAAAACTGTCTTCGCAATATTTTATATATTCCGTATTCATTTTCTTACCCTTTGTGAAAATTCGCCGAAACATAAGTCTAAACTTATCTATTACGGGTTTACAAGTATTTAAACCATCTTGTACGGCTAAATTTATTATGTATGCACAACAACGTGTATGAAATAATTTACCCTTTAAAATAAGTGTCAAATGACACTTTAATTTTTCCATACATAGATTGTTATTAGGGGTGAGCAGCGGAACCGGGTACCCGGCTATAGAATCGGAACCGCCTTGGAACCGTCGGTTCCAGAACTGGAACCGATATGAGTGGTTCCGGTTCTGGTTCCTAAAATACGGAACCGATTGAGAATGGTTCCGGTTCTGGTTCTCAATTTTTCGGAACCGTTACCCACCGGGTACCCGGTATTTTTCAATAAAAAAATAATAATTATTTTTTAATACCAAATTTATATTAGGTTTACATCTTAAAAGCACGTCGTCATCTTCAATCTTCATCTTACTTCTTCATATAAAATGATTCGTATTTTTTCAAATTGTGTGTTCACTTGGATTCATAGTATGTAATCGTTAAACTTTGAACATTTTCTATTAGTCTATTATAGTTTGTAATCGTTAATCAATATTTGTAACCATTATTCTGTATAATTTGTATTCTTGCTTATTTATTTAGTGTTTTGGCAATGTTTATTTTTTATTTCTAAATAACAAATTTTCAATATTTTAGGAAGCGGATACCCGGAACCGGAACCGGTTCCCGGCGGTTCCGGTTCCGGTTCCAAAAATTTAAGAACCGCTCTAACCGGTTCCGGTTCCGGTTCCAATATCTCAAGAACCGCCGGTTCCGGTTCCGGTTCTTGTCAAAAAGGGCGGGTACCCGCCTATGCTCACCCCTAATTGTTATTACTAGCGTTATCAAATGAAATGCTAATTATTTTAGTAGTTAAATTATAAAATGCAAGACATTTTTTAATAATTGAAAATTGATGTGCACCCGAATGTGGCACACCAAACGGTTCAAATGCGATTATACGTTTGAATAAATGTCACGTGTTGGTCCCAGACGGATCAACAAGAGTTTAAAGATAACAGTTTGTAAAGGGGGGGGGGGGAGTGAATACAAACACAATAGTTTTCACTTTTTAAAATCCTTTATTGATAAAGAAATAAATACAGAATTTACAGATTGTTTGCTGAAGAAGATAAGATACATAATTTATCTAAAACAATCTATGGAACACAATAAAGAAAAGACTTGCTAAATAAATAAACAATTATTCTTCACTTGAAGTAGAGATAACTTCGAAAGATTAAGAAGTATGTGTTTGTGAGTAAGTCATTTCTTGGGTAGAAAGTTGATCTTCAAGATATGAGTTTTTTGGCGTAGTTGGTTGGATGGTTGCTGAAGGAGGAACTTCTCAGCTATTTATAACCATTGCATTAAATGCAAGTCATATGGTACAAGGCACGTGACAAGCTTCCAGTGGTGAGCTTTTCCTATGTCTTCAGATATACAGGCTTTTGCCGCATATGAACAGTAGTCTTTCACAAAATAGGTAAGCACGTTCGGAGACAATAGAGTGATTCCGTACGAGTGTTTTATTTTGGGAGGTATGGGTTTGTCCTTTGTGTGTACGAGGATAAGACAAAAACTAATATTGGTCAACAAGATTTATTTGATCGCTGACACTGGAATAACACTAGGGTTTCTTCAGTGTATGTTGAATCTTGAGTAGATTTCACACATGTGTAGACATGTATGTTATCACTAAAACCGCATCAGATCACGAATTACTTGTCTTTGTCTTCAGCTTTATCTTTGATATCACTCAAGGTTCTTGTGGTGTGAGTTTTGTCTTCTTGAAGAATATTTATCTCTGAGAAATACAATACTTGTTCAGCGATCACTGAACAAACTCAGTGATGATCATTGAAACTGAATAAAGAGAAAATATTTTCCGTAAATAAAAAAGATCATCATCAAATCACTGAGAGAGAGAATCAACACCACGAAGAAGGCTCAATCCAATGTGTCATTATGCATATATAAAAAACCGACAATCCGTATGGTGCGTTCCATACATCACACGTTAAAGAAATGTTGTTAGGCAAAAGAGCAAACATTTGTTACATTTCACCTCGATACATTTTCCTCATTTTAATTGCATCACGTCTAAAGGTTTGACGATTTACCGGCTTGTATCGTGGTTGTAGTGTTTTTTGGATAAACTTCGTAAAGTGAGGGTTGTCGAAATGTCCGAAAGGCAACCAGACTTGAATGACACATTTTGTTGTTATTTGTCGGTTCAACTCGATATCATACAACCATATTTGACCTTGAGTGTCAAGTATCGGTTGGCTTGAATCGCTCCGACCTCAACCCCAGGCACATTTTTTCGGTGTGTCGCCTTAAAGTATAATTTCCTTCCGCCATAAGGAGAGTTTGACACATTTTGCATTGTGCCTTTTTTTCCCGTTTGTGAGGATCACCAAGTTGTATGAATTCCAAATCTCGGATTCGACGAGAACTTGGGCAACTTGTTCGTTTGATGCATCATGTTGTTCACCGGCCATTTTGTAAGACAAAGAAAGAAATGAAAATTGTGAAGTAGAAGCGAGAAATGAATACGAATCGAAATCACAAAATATAGCGAGAAACCGAGAATTGTGAACGTTTTTTGTTTTTGTTTTTTGCGTTTTGTCTCGGACTGGGTCGGGCCGGTTCAGCCATCACTAGACTATATGCACTAAACCATCGAACTTTTAAATAACATGTTAATATGCGATGTATCACTTACAAACATTCAAATAACTCTCATACAATACAAACATTCACTAATAGATTAACACAAGTGGGGATTGAAGAGCGACAATGGACCATGGAGGTGTGGACGAGTTACTAAGACTATATAGGGTTAGGTGAATGAATTCAGTTAGAATTCAGATTTATATATCCTTTCGTATTAGACTTCAGAAAAACATAAAATAGAAAATAAGATGGATTTCATACGTCGTGTTATTGATTAAATTTTAGTTAATAAATAATTTATAAAAAAATGTCAGTACGTTACAATATTACTGTGGTTCGCAACTTCTAATACCGCATACCAACCAAGCTTAAAGATTGGTAACTTGGTAGATGCTACCAATAATCAAATGGATACCAATTAAATTGCTAACAAGTCAAGCTGACCATATAGACATATCTAAAGTTAAATCCTAGACCTAGAAATGGGTTCGATTTCGATAGAGATTACTTCTCAATACGATTTCTTTCAAATTCATTAAAATTTCATGTACTGATTCTTGAATACCCATTATGGTAGAATATTCGTGTAATATTTTCTCAGATTTTGCGCGTGTGATACATGTTCCTTCTATTCCTCCAAGCAAAGCTCTTTGCATCGCAATGCCTATTGTGTCTGCTTGACCTTTTCTAAGCAGAGCCAGAATAAAGCGCCCATAAAAAAGTCACTTACTGACTGCTGCTGATTCAACACACTGCCACTGTACTATCATAAGCTTGGGTGATAGCAAGAGAACTTGGAAAAATTGTTATAACCATAATGGATACTAGTTTTTGAACAGTGATTTATATAAGAGTTGAGAGGAATGAATACCAACTATTAGGTACAGTTTATCCAAACACTTATCTGGTAAGTGTTTACTGGTAAAATTCAACATCATCACTTATCTTACTGGGTAAAATTTTAGTCAATTAAAACTGCATCATATGCAACAATTTACCAAGTAAACTCTAACCGTGTAAGAGTTATGGCCCTCACCCTCACTTACAGGTTAAGACTCTCGATTCTTGTCTTGGCTCTTAGCGAGTAAGATTTCATGGTCCTTGTCATATTCATTCGATAAGGTAATATGACTTGGTAAGCGTTTATGTGTTGGATAAACGACAAAAGAATGAGCTTTGTGGCTTAGATAAGGCTTGCATTCATACCTATTTTCCATTACTTGTTGAACCATTTTCTTCCTCTAATTGAAATTAATGTACTCTCTACTTCATACTTGAAACTTTGAAGTAAAATTCCGTTTTTGGTTCTTAGCACTCTATTACTTGAAAGTTGTTCGCAGTGATCAATGACCAATGTACACGTGCACTCTCCGTTGTTGACTCTTTGCTAGCCATTGCAATTACATTATTTTCCACCGTCACCTGTCAACCACCATAAAAATATAATCCATCGGAAAGTCCTATCAAATACGATCAACAAGTGGCAATTGCATTTGACCCTTAAGAACTCGCACTCGATTGTAATCTTATTAATGGTTCGACTATCCACACACATCCTCCGACTTATTAATAGGACATGAACAACACATGGAACTCTGCTTTCTATAAGACACTACTTTCACATACAGTCCTAGACCTTCCATTGCAAAATCTCATTGTCATATAAGCTCATCTTCTAATGAGGTCCAATGAGGATAGGATTTACATAGGCCTTACCCTCCACTCTAAGCAGTAGAATGATACGTCTCAGCCCGACCCACATTGGGGTCGGATATATTGGCATCGCAAAAGAGAGGCAGGAAACAAGTAGTGGTACTTTTGGCCACTAATCTTGATTTTGCCAATTGATTCATATCATAGAAATGTTATTTCCATGAATACCCCTACTTGTAAAAAAGGTGTTACGCTTACCAGGTATCACTTACCATACCGGATGAGCATGGCAAGGACCTAGAATCTTACCCGGTAGCAAGATCCGAGAATCTTACCCTGTAAGTGAGAATATAACTCTAAGGCGGTAAGCACTTACCGGGTAAAATACTCGTACCAACAATCCATTTTGATAGCCGAGAATGTTACCCGATAAATTAAGGGTGGTGACTTTGCCGATAAGCACTTGGTGAACAACCTCTTAGTATATCATATTATAAAGAAATAACATAAGAACCTGAAGGGATGACAATCAAATCCGACATTTGTTGCAGGGCAGCAACTGCTAATTAGTAAAGATGGATCATTTACAAAATTGTGAAAAATCATCATATCAAGGAATAATACTTCAGATTTTTAAATAACAAAAAAGCATGTACTGCAATGACAGATGATCATTTATATAATTCTGTTATTTTTTTACTATCGAATAATATTTCAGATAATAAATAAAACAATGTTTGTTGGACGTCCAATATGTGCACAAACCTGAAAATTGGCATGGCTGTTCACTTACCACCAGTCTTCCACTTCTTGATGGGAAAGATGGTGACTTTTCTTCTGGGCATAGCTCCGGTGGCGTGCGGCGGCTTCAATGGGTGCCTAGCAGGCCTACTAATTTGAGCTTCATCTTTATGATCCTTGAAATCTGCTAGTGGCTTCAGCTCAAATGCACCCCTACTAAAACCTCTTGCAACCTGATGTATCAAAGTAGTAGTTAGAGCAGTAATTAGCTGAAAAGCTGCTGGCTAATAAGCTAGTTGTTGGCTGAAAAGCTAGTTGTTAAACCTCATCTAGCTAGTTGTTGGCTGATAAGCTAGCTGAAAAATCAATTGAAATAGTAACCTATCTTTGGCAAAATAGCTGTTGGTTGATAAGCTAGCTATTAGCTGAAAAACTAGTTGTTAGCGGATAAGCTAGTCATGTTGGATAAAAACTAGCTTTTAAGCTAGATAACAATGTAAAATGACTTAAAAGACATGCTGAAAACCTAATGGAAATATACAAGGGAATAAATGGAGTAAGTGAAAATAAAACCCAGGAACTTATTAAAACACTACTTGAAGTAGCTTTTAAGAAAGCTAGATTATGGCCAACCAATTGATAGTTCTTCAACAAGCTAAAAGAAATAAGATAGCTTATGGTTGCCACACATGACGATAGTATAAAAACTGAACATGATCCAATGAGTGATTTCGGTGGGAAGTGAGGTGACAATCGTAAAGCAAATATTAAGTTCTACATGCTTGTTGGAGATGTTTCATTGTCTTGTCAAGCCAACCGAAGTTTAACTAATTATTTTGGATATTTTCAAAAATTAATCTAGAAAAGGTGAAAAATACGTAGAGAACAAAGAAGGATTACTCCATAAGTTGAAAAGAAAAACACATACAAAAGCAAGACATTAACTTTTAGATCAGTAAAATGAGGACAATGGACAGTGCAGCAGTGCACATAGCAAGTCCAAGTATTATCAGATCAATTCTACAGTTAAAAAGGGATCTGATTTTGTTCCTGTCATCCTGGATCCTCTTCTGTCATGATACATATTATGTTCCTCTAGATCATAGACGACTGGTTTTTGTTACTCAAATGGCATAGTAGGTGATTTATTTAACTCTGGAAATCTTTTGGCTGAAATTGTTCAAGATTTTTGGGAGACAATGCTGTTCTAATAACTGATGAATTCTAAAGCTACCATGATGACTACATGAAGTTTAGTATGTTCAAGTTCAGGCTCAGCTAATTTTTTGGTGGGTTTGGTATGTCGGACAGGATGGAACGAGACAAAACAAACACTTCTTATCCCATGTTTGGCGCGACATTAGACTGGGACAAGACAGGACTTAATGGGACAAAACTGCATCTTTTGTCCCACCAAAATACGTGGACCAAAAATAGGGAGATAGAACAAGATTGGTAAACATAAAAGAAAACGCCTACTGAACCGATCATCAGGAGGAATTTAACGACAGGACATGAAGGGAACGTATGGAGGGAGAATCTGATTTGGTTAGACAATGTGTGGTTGGTAACAAGAATCGGAAGTTAACAAAATGAGTTTCAAACTTAAAATTACTGAACTACCCATATCAAATTAAAACCCTAAAACCTTCCACAATTCTTTCACCCATCTGCCTCACTCTGCCGCTACAGTCCGCATACTAGTTAGGTTGTCTACTTTAGGAGGCAAATTTGGATGGTACTTTGTGTGCACTAAATCTATTTGGAAGAAACCCTTGACTGATCAGAAGAAATGAAAAGATGGCAATGACAAGCAAGTTGACCATTAAGTAGACCCACATTGAACATGTGTAAGAATACAAGTGATAACTGACAAAAATAAAAATGAGAGGTATAGAATGATGTGCATATGGATAGGCACCTCACCGCTAAAGTCTCTCTCTAAGTAGCTATTGCTACTATAAATGCAATTCTGCATTAGTTGAGATGCATCCCTCTGTCCCAGAATAAGTGTCGACATTTCTATTTGAGTTTGTCACAAAATAAGTGTCCATTTTCAAAAAAAAATAGATAGTTATAATTTACAAAATTTCCAACTTTACGCTTAATTATGATGCACAAATATTTAAGCGTTGATGAGACGGAGAGAAGGTTTGTCTGTCATTCAGTTAATTAAAAGAAGTAATAATTACACATTTCTTAAACTAAAATTTTTTTATTGTGGACATTTTGGACATTTTATTTGGGAGTAAAATAGTACTCGAGCATACCTTGAGCAAGATCCATACTCTAAGAGAACTACTCAGGTTCGCTAGTCTTGTCCTCTTTCCAGAGGTCAGGTAACTACCCATGTACCGATCAACCATCAGAACGAATTTTTGCCAAGTTTCAGGCTTTCCAGGATCTGGCCTCTCCATTCGTACCTAACACAAAGCAAAAATGTATTAGAAAACAAGTATTTAATTGATAAATTATGTCTATTAGAAACCAGATTCCAGAATGAAAGTAATAAGGAAATCTTTCATTGCATATCCAGGGGAGGGGACTGAACTGGTGAGCAATGAGAAGCAAACTCAAGGTCTGACCAGTTGGATCGACCTCTAAAGGTTTTCATTGAATCTTCTTGAAATTATGAATAACGGAAATTTAGCAACTTCTATTGACCATTTGCAACCATCCATTTTTACCTAAATGTCAGTCGCCTTGGTCCAACTAGTCCACAAACTTTATGCAAAGTTCCTTATTCACATGAACCCGGCAAACTTTAGGCCTTTTAGCTAGTGGGTTTGGCCCCTAAAGAATTGATAGCACTTATGGGATTTGAGCCAAGTCCCAAGCCTTGACCATCAACCCTTTCGGGTTCAGAACAATCCCCTCACTATATGAAAAGTCTGAGCTTTTTTAACGTATTGAACCGGATTGGTAAATAAAGCAATATGTCTCCTGCAGTTGGAAGAATTACTCACAAGCAAACGACAAATCTCACGCTCGATTTTAGAAAATGAGGTTTCCAAAGCTTCAACTCTCCCAGTAGCATGACAACAAGAACAAGGTTCACTGATCATAAATGTCACACTAGGTCGTACCTGTCAAGAGTTGCATAGAGTTATTATGCTAGAAAAATAATGAACCATAGGTTAATGACATCATGCACATTCTCAAATCATACTTCATGAGGCAACTTCAAGGAGACCCAAAATGATTCGTTTTCTTGTCAAATAAGTTTAAATCTAATTAATTAATTATTTTTTCATGAACTCGGTAAATCAAAAACTACATGTAACAGTCGAGAGAAGAAAAGGCCATACCCTTTTCCTGGTGATCTCCATCAGCCCATGTCTAGAAAGTTCAGAGACTTTAACCAATGAGCGGTCTCTCTCAACTGCATTTTTAACTTCTTCATAGACCAATCGCTTATTTGCTGAAGAAAGATATTAGCAAAGAAGAAATGTACTATAATGTAATGTTGATTTTTATTGCAGTTTACAGAAGCTAAAAGAGCCATCTCTGACAACCACATATTTCATGAATTTTTTTCTTTCCAACATTTAAACTACCATTGGAAAAAAAATGACCATATATACTTGAATTGGTTTAGTTTACAACTTCATTCTTGAAACGAACTGCCATATAGAAGCGCTATTTGGGTTCTTTATCATTTTATCTGGCCAAAGCTTGCTGGGCCATGGATTTCTTATTGATTGGATTTCTATTTTTGTTGAAATTTTTGTCTTATTATATTTTGTGCCTATCCCTTTGAAACATATCCTCTATTCAGAGGCAACCCTTAAAATTCAGCTTCCCCATTGTTTGTAGAAAGATAATATCGGCTTTATAAGAATTCAATGAGAGAAAAGATGTGTATTTCAACATGAACACAACGTACATATTTATACAAAAGTAAAACTGTAATGGTTCCTATAAATCAGCCTCTAAAGAATAATTCAAATCTATTAAATAGAGAATCAAAAATTATGAAATTAATCCCTAAGAATCAGCACAAAGATTATGGGATATCTCTAGCTTGATTTTCCACGCATTCCTACACTCCCCCTCAAGCTGGCGTGTATATATCAATCATCCCAAGCTTGCAAGTAAGATCTTCGCATAATCTCCTTGTAAGGCCTTCTGTCAGTATGTCGGCTATTTGTTGTGTTATGGGTAAGTAAATCATGCACACTCTTCCAGAGTCAAGTTTTTCTTTAATGAAATGCCGATCTACTTCCACATGCTTAGTTCGGTCATGGTGAGCAGGATTGTGAGCTATGCTTACTGCTGCTTTATTATCGCAGTACATAGTGGATTTGAACGATACACGTATCTCCTCCATTAGACGTTGCAATCATATTCCTTCGCATATACCATGCGCCACTGTTCTGAAATCTGACTCAGCAGTGCTTCGAGATACAACAGGTTGTTTTTTACTTCTCCAAGTCACAAGATTCCCCCATATGTAACTGCAATATCCACTGGTAGAGCGTCCGTCTATGGTAGGTCCTACCAGTCAGCATCTGTGAATACTTTAATAAACCAGTTTTCTCCTTTCTTAAAGTGCAGTCGTTTTCCAAGGGTTCCCTTTAAGTACCTCAATACTCTATAGGTCGCTGTCATGTCTCTCTCCTTTGGGGAGTGTATAAATTGGCTGATAACACTCACAACAGAAGTGATATCAGGCCTTGTTTGAGAGAGATAGATGAGTTTTCCTACCAGTCTTTGATATCTCTCTTTATCAACCTCTGGGCTATCTTCCTCAGCTCCCAGTTTCTTGGGTTCCATTAGGTGCTAGCAGGTTTGCACCCCATCATTCCTGTCTCTGCTAGTAAATAGAGTACATACTTCCTTTGTGAAATGGAGATCCCTTCTTGGCTTCTTGCAACTTTCATTCCTAGGAAGTATTTGAGCGGTCAAGGTCGTAGGTTTTTAGTTGGTTGATTTCTTCCAAGTCATCTCCTGTCATGACTAGGGGTGGCAATGGGTCAGGTTGGGTTGGGTTCGGTTCAACCCATTTATTAAACAGGTTGAAAATCTCAACCCAACCCATCCCATTTAATAAAATGGGTTGAGATTTTTCAACCCAACCCAACCTGTTACTTAAATGGGTTGACTGCGGGTTGACCTGTTTACGATTTTCTTAACCCAACCTGTTAAATAAATGGGTTGAACTTGGGTTGACCCATTTAACTTTAAAATTTTAAATAAAAAAAGAACTAGACTATTTAACTTTTTGGAATAAAGCATAACACAACCACAAATATAACCAAATTGTTCAAATTTCACTCTCGATATTACTTTCTTCTTGATCTTCTATCTTCTCTGTCATGATTGCACCTCCACATAGCGCCTCAAGATGCGATTCCATTTGTACTACGTAAATAAATTAAATTACAAATTGGGAACTGTTTGATTCTATCAACACAACACAAGCGAAAGTCGAAAGATCCTTTATTTTAGCTCCGCAATGGTGAATGACTTTGCTATCGCTCAAGCCTCAACGCCTCAACCTCAAATCGAAAATTGAAACCAACCGAAATCTTTGATTGGAGAAAGTAGAACTCAAAAGAAGGGGCGAAGATTGATAAAATCGACTGAAGAAGATGAAGAATTGAAGACGCGAGACTCATGATACTGAATTACTGATATTGTATGAAGGATTGAAAATCGAAGCATCGTTTAACTCGTGAGTTGTGATACTGAAACTTGGGCCAATTTATTTAAGAAACAAAATAAAAAATAAAAAGTTAATATAATAGATATAATATTAAGAATAAAATAAACCTATATAATATTTTAAGTGGGTTGAAAATGGGTTGAAAAATTCAACCCAACCCATTTATTTAAATGGGTTAGACGGGTTGACCCATTTATTTAAATGGATTGAAAATCTCAACCCAACCTGCTAATTCTGGGTTGGGTTCGGGCTGAGTTCATAGGTTGGGTCATTTTTTGCCACCCCTAGTCATGATTATGTCATCAACGTATACAATAAGAATTGATATCTTACCATTTCCTGAGTGCTTGAAGAACACAGTGTGATCTGTTGTCCTTGACTGTATCCTCTACTTGTTACTACTCATGCCCTTGGTGATTGTTTTATCCCGTAAAGTGACTTCTTCACTCTGCAAACTTTCCCTTCAGGGTTTTCAAAACCAGGGGGGAAATCCATATAAACTTCCTCATTGAGTTCACCATTTAGGAACGCATTTTTAACATCCAATTGCATTAGAGGCCAATCAAGATTAGCTGCCAAGGAGAGTAAAACTCAAATAGTATCAAGTTTTGTAACAGGGGCCAAAATTCTCTTAATAAGAACAGTTTTCAGGAACAACTTCTTGGCAATCCAAAGTCAACATTTTCATTAATCCACAGCGATATTTGGGGATCTAGCTGTATAAAAAATGTTTTTGGATCAAAATGGTTTATCACATTCATCGATGACCATACATGCCTATGTTGGGTTTATCTCCTTAAAGACAAATCAGAAGCCCCGAAAACCTTCCAAATCATTCACACCATGATTCAAAATGAGTTCCAAACAACAATCCACACACTCCGTACCGATAACGGTAGAGAATACTTCAACTCCACTCTAGGAACCTACCTCTTTGATCATGGCATTATTCACCAAAGCTCATGTCCGAACACACGCCAACAAAATGGTGTCTCCGAACGAAAGAACCGACACTTACTAGCCATAGCACGTGCCTTAATGTTCACCATGCATATTCCAAAATATCTAAAGGGTGAAGCTGTTCTCACTGCTTGTTACCTTGTAAACCGATTACCTTCAAAAGTTCTTAGTCTACAAACCCCAAATGATGTCCTAAAGAAATTATTTTCACTAGTTCAAGCCTCCTCTTTTTCACCAAAAATCTTTGGATGTACAGCCTTCGTCCATTCTCGTGATCCAAATCAGTCCAAACTTAATCCCCGTGCACACAAATGTGCCTTTATTGGTTGTTCATCAACGCAAAAAGGATACAAGTGTTTCTCACCAACCTTGCGACGACTCTTTGTCTCTAAAGACATCGCCTTTTTCGAATCTGAGCCCTATTATCCCAGGCCTCATCTTCAGGGGGAGACTCTAAATGAAGATGAGTCCTTAAATGGTCTCCTCAACCTTGAAGGTGCTGAAAATTGAGAAATCCAACATAATACTCTAATTGTCCCATCCCATAAATTTTTTTCCTAGAATCACCACCAAACACCACACCTCTCCCCAAATTTGATGGACCTGATTTGCTTTTAGAGAATAGGGAACACAAGCATGTTTTGATAACTCGCAAATTTCACAAAAAAAAGGAACCAAAATCTTGATTTCGAAATAGAACAAATGTTTAAGGTACTGAAAGTTTAGCCACATCGGGATGGTGTCTTTATTGGAAGGTGAAACTTTTGAGCTTGAATATGCTTGTTTATTCTTGGATTCATTGCTTTCCCAAATATAAAGTCTATCTTTGACTTTAGTATTGCCAATCATCCTCCCCGATTGGAAGTAGAAGAGAATAGAGCCAAGTATTAGTTATCTTGAGTGAGCTTGTGAATAGATAGAAGATTGCAAGACAACTTTAGAACATGAAGAACTTTAGTGAGTGTGATTTGATCTGTGAGGCGAACCAAGCTTGTTCCCGTAACCAGGGAGAAGGATCCGTTGGCTATCCTTACCCTAGATTGATTGCGGCAGGAACTATAAGTGTGAAATAGAGAGTAGTTGCCGGTCATGTTATTAGAGACCCCGGGGTCGAAGATCCAATGGTTATTATTATTGGATTTAGAAAGGACATTAAAGGCATTACCTTTGATAGGTTTGTTGAGGAGTTGGTGTAGGGTCTCTAATTAGGCTATATTCAGTTGGACATTCATTACCTCATCTGAGGTAGGTAGTTCCTTTGGTACAAGTGAGGATGATGTATGGTGCGCCTTCGATGCGGTTTGATTCTTGTTTGCCCATGGATATCCATGAATCTTCTAACACTTGTCACGTGTGTGGCTTGTTCTCTTGCAGTGAATACACCATACACGATCTCCTTGCTTGTTCTGCCTAGAATATCCTCTTTCAGGGGGGCTTAAAAATGGGTGGCCATTTTGAGACAAGTGCAGAGGTCTCTATAGGATGATTCTCATTATTGGAGACTGGTTTAGCTTCCCTTTGATGGCTGATGCATTAAATACCAACGATTTTCTTCACGGCGAACCTCAGCAAATGTTGCACAAATTGATGGTAAAGGGGTTTGGCCCAGAATTCTCCCACGTACCTCATCTAAGCCACGATTTAACCCTGCTAGGAAATCGTAGTCTTTCTTTCTCCAAGGGTGCCTTGAATATGACATGGTTTTCGACTTCCCCCAATCAGCTTCATAGAACATATATAGTTCCTGCCATAAGACTTTCAAACAATTACAGTAGTTAGTTCAGAGGTACCTT